CTACAATGTGTGTTTTTAATACTTTTGTCAGAAATCAGCTGGCGGTAGTAGTTATGTGTATTTATTACTAGCCCTTTATTCAATTTCACTGGTCTATTTGGCTGCTTTTCTGCCACTGACCATGCTACAGTGTTACTATGATTCTATAACATAACTTGAGGTTAGAACTAAATGGTAAGAAAGATTACCTTAGTTGCACAAATACACGGAGACTGAAAAATACACTCTTGAATGCCCAGTGGGTCTTTGAAGAAATAAGAGAGGAAATTAAAAAATTCATAGAATTAAATGAAAATGAAAGCACAATTTGCCAGGAACTTTGGAATACAGTTATGGAAGAAGATTCCAAATAAATAGCCGAATTATGCATCTTGATATCCTAAGGGAAAAAAAGAGCAATTCGAACTCAAAAGCAGTAGATGGGAAGAAACTAGAAATAGGGAAGAAATGAATAAAATGGTGACTAAAATAACAATGCATCGAATCTGCCAAACAAAGGAGTTGTTTCACTGAAGAAATAAACAAGATTCACCCTTTTTACAATTTTTTGTTTACTATTTACCCCTGTGTTTCACAGCTTCCTTTGGGATTGTTGTTTTTATCTTTGAGGAACATCTTTGCAAATTGCACTGTAGTGCATTTATCACAAGTGAGTGTTCTGATGTTTTCTGGATCTGAAAATGTCTTGGATGCCTCAGTGGAAATTCTGGCTTACCAGTTATCACTCTGTTTTCTTGCTTCCATTATTGCCTTGATAAGTGAGCAGTTAAGGTCATTGCTGCTTTTCTGTAGGTAACAGAAAACAAAACCAAAAATAAGCATTACCTGTTCTTTTTACGATCCTTGGGTTTACTCTTCTGTTCATTTTAAGGTTTTCTCACTGTCTTAGGTATTCTGTAGCTTAATTTTGATGCATCAAGGTATAGATTTCCTTTATTTGTCATGCCTGGCATTTTTTGAACTTCTTACATCCTAGAGTTTGTGTCTTTAATACTTCAAGATGATGAAGTATTTTCCTTACTCTGCCTAAAAAGCAAATGTTATTATATCATTGTACTTGTAAATATATTTATTGATGCTTACTGCTTGCTCATTTATTAAATACCATTAGCTAACCATAACTCAATGTGTCCGATTCTCTTCTAGGTGCTGAACATATGTTACTGAGTAAGAAAGAAGTCGTGTAGTACAGTGGGAATGAGGGCAGTGATTACTTCAGTTACCTCTTCATGTAACCTACCTGTGTCTTCTGGGCCTTCTCAGGCACAATCAGGAATATACAGCTTTAGACAATCTGAAAAGACCCAGTGAAAACAGAGGCCTCTTTTTGCATGCCCCCTGACCCATCTCAAAGGCTTACTGTGCCACCCAGCTTAGACTGGACCTTGCTGTCCTGCCTTCTCAGCCTCTTGGGAGCTGGGCATCCCAAACACGGCTTTTATCTTTCCTTTTTTACGGGCTACTTACTTCTTCGACCTCAATACTGTTTTGCATGTAAGAAACAAATCTGCAACATTTCTGAAATAGCTTTAATGTTTTCCTATATTTTGAGTTCTTCTGAATAAAGCCAGTATATTTAAAAACCTAAAGGGCAAAAACATAATTGTGGACCTGATGAAAAGGCTGTAACAAAATCCACAATTGTAATATTTTGCCGAATATGTAATAGAGGATAGGAAGGTATATAAATGTGAAATTTTTTCTGTAATCCTTAAATCTTTCCTCCTGGCACTTGGGAAAAGGCACAAGTGACCTCCCACTGTGGTCCTCGAGCTAACCTAGGCTTTTCTTCAGACATGAAATATTTGCCCTGTGCCATCTTAAGGAACGGTGTTCAGATGTGCATGTGTGTTTCTTTTGTGTTAGGCATGTACTGATCTGACCTGTTTGAGCCTTACCGGCCTTACCATGAGAAGATCATCGCTTCATGACAGCAGAACTTCAGGCCATTCATTGCCTTCATTCATCAAAACCTTCAGCTGAGCAGGGATTCACATGGGAGACACAGATGCAAAGTCTTTTCTTTCCAGGCACCTGAATTACATGCTGTGTTAGTTTTTGTCCTCATCTCTGTGACCAAGGACCTGACAAGACACAACTTAAAAGGAGAGGGCTCAGTACACATCAGGGCTTGCAATTTAAGAAGGGAAAGAGTCCATCCCGGCGGGGAACACATGGTGGCAGGAGCCTAATGTCACATCATATCCACTGTCCAGGATGTTAAAGACTGATCAAGACGCAGTGTCTGACTATCCAATCTCCAAGGCTGGCCCCATGATTCACTTCCTCCAGCCAGGCTCCACTTTCCTGAGGACTCAATGACCTTCTCAAAACAGTACCAGTAGATGGGAGCCAAGTGTTCAAAGCCATGAAGGGGACAGTTTGTATTCAGATCACAGCTCCTGGTACCGACCCACTTGCACATTATACTATTGAAGCATCGCTTAAATAAAGTGGGTTTTATGTGCTTCGGAGTCATACATCTTGACAATTGCTTAAACCCTGTATCACCCACAGAAAGCAACATGGGGGTCCCTGTGAAAACATCCTTCGCCAGCCTTTCTAGCCAGTCTTTGCTGAAGCAACCACTTTAGGTATTTTGTTATGACAGCATGCCTTTGCCTCCTTTTGGACTTTATGTGGATACAATCGTCCATTATTTCTTTTACTTATTTTCTAATTAATAAATGCTTTTCATTTTTTACTTGATCTAATGAAAATAACTTTTAAGGCAATCCTCAAACACTTTGTTTTGGATCGAATATTTGCCTTGTTTCCTGGCAACATATAGGAGCTTGAAATATGCATGTAAGAGCATAGGTTTCATTGGTAAATCACATTAGGTTTCATACGGCCATTCCAAGTCAGGAAGTGTTTTAACCTTTTCTCTTTATGTTGAATTGACCGTAGCATCCAGCTGAGCAGCTTAACTCATAAAGACATAAACTTTAGAGCCCAAAGGGCTTTCAGCAATCTCCTAACTGCTCCGCTGTCATTGGGCATCTGCTCTCAAGCAGTGGTTGTGCTAGATGGACCTTGATGATAGAGCCAGGAGTCAGGTGGACAAGCTGTCTGAAGAATTCACAGCAAGACAGATAGAAAGAAGATAGACAATAATGACAGTGGCATGTGACGAGCTGTCTGATGCGGGAGGTCATGAGATACTTGTTAATCCGACACTGTCAGGACGTCATGGAAGATAGCCTTGAACAATGGATGCTTAGGTGAGGATGGGAAGAATAAACAGGAGGAAGCCGGAGAAAAAGGCAGAGCAGAAGAAAGGAAAGAGAAGGGGAGGATCGATCCAGAGACACCAGAATGGGCAATAGTAGGGAGGTGACACTGTTAATACTGCAGGGAACTGACAGACGCTTAGTAATGACCGAAAGTGGTCAACACGGGGGAAAACAATAGCAAAAGTAGCAGGAACCTCACAGCCAGGTAGAAGTCTCTAATTCGTTCTGATATCACAAGAGGCCCCTGAAGGGTTTCAAATGTGCTGCTTGAAACTTTAATTGAAACACAATTAAACTTGCAGAAATTTCTTCCATGTTGTGGATGGTGGGCTAGGAAGAAGCGAGACTGGAGCCCTGGAGATGTCTTGGAAGTCATTGTTTGAAACGAGGTGATGGAGCTGGTGAGAAGGAGATTGGATTAAGAGATATTTCAAAAATAATTACATTAAATTTTTGTAAGCAGTAATGGACATTGAGGAGAAAGATATCTAAAATGTTCTTCACAGGTTATTAGTTTAAGCAACCAGCCAATTGGTGGTACTGTTTCCAGAAAGGAGGAATGCCCACGAGGAACACGTCAGTGTGTGTGTGTGTGTGTGTGTGTGTGTGTGTGTGTGTGTGTGTGTGTGTGTGTGTACAGAGGAGAGAGTCATAAATGAAACCGGAGGACCAATTTTTATCAGATTTTTCTGTTGCTTGCAAGACATTTGGCTATCCAATGACAATATCCTGCAGCACACGGCTGAAGCTGAGGACAGAAAGAGTCTGACTGATTACACAAATTTGATCATGAACCGCAAATAAATAGCTTTTGAAATTGCCTGTGAAACCAGGTAACTTAGCCAGGCGGTGGTAGCACACGCCTTTAATCCCAATATGTGGGAGGCACAGGCAGGCAGATCTCTGTAAGTTTGAGGCCAGCCTGGGCTACAAAGTAAGCTCCAGGGAAGGCACCAAAGCTACACAGAGGAACCCTGTCTCAAACAAACAAACAAACAAACAAACAAACAAACACCAGATAACTTTTAGAGATAATTAACATATGTGTATCATAGGTAGCAAATTTCATGGTGGCCCTGTTCTGGTCAAGCAAGCTCCGGAAAGCATGGAATAACATTTTTCTCTTGAAAATATACAAGGTATAGGAGGGAATGAAGTCCACCCATGTCAAAATGAGTTTCAATTTACATAATACAGTGTTTCACAAACAACCCACTGCCATATCTATTAAAATATGATTTATATGCTGGCAAGATGGCTCAGAGAGCAAAGGTACCTGCTGCCAAGTCTGGCAAGCTGAGTTTGATCCCAGGAACCATGTAGGAAAAGGGGATAACTGACTCTCATGGGTTGTTTGACTTCCAAACACAGTGGCACATACCCCTCCAATAATGCGATAACTTTCAAAATTAAAAGAGCACAATTCATGTAAAATACAGCATGTGTATGTTAGGTACATGCAGAGGAGAGGGGAGCTAAGGCCCATTAGGCTTCTGTAATGCACTTTCAGTTAACTTGGCCCTGGACAATGGGTATTCTGTCCCACTTCCCAATGGTCTTAGAAGCGGCAATGAGTCTGTGATAGACTTGTGATACAACTATGGTCTTGATCTGCTGGATGTGTAACATCAGATTTAGAGATCATCCTAGGTTCAATGCTCTTCAAATTTTATACGTGTCTTCTTTCCTAAACACGATTTAAAATCTAAGGGTGCTGTTGTTGGATTCTGAAATGACTGACATTTTTCTTTTACTGCAGTGCTGTGTGATAGACGACGGGAAGTCTCTTACTAAAGCTTTGGAACCATCCCCGTCTTTCCTTCCTTTACAGATTCGGGAAGTCTGTGCCTCGAAGTCTTTTAAGTGACACGGGAGCCAAACTGTGCAGGTATGCAGTATTTGCTTCATTAAACAGGGTGGCTTTAGAAGTTAGCAAGAGAAGCAGCTGGGCTCTGTTTTTTTTTTTTTGGTTTTTCGAGACAGGGTTTCTCTGTGTAGCTTTGCGCCTTTCCTGGAACTCACTTGGTAGCCCAGGCTGGCCTTGAACTCACAGAGATCCACCTGGCTCTGCCTCCCGAGTGCTGGGATTAAAGGCGTGCGCCACCACCGCCCTGCTGAGTTCTGTTTTTAAGCAAACTAACTAGAATACTCTTGGTCGTCTCACTGTCTCACCTACATCTATAGTGTTGACCTTTAATGGCATCAGAGTCTCTCAGATGAGCACTGAGCACATGTTTCACGTTATTTTCTCCTCTCTATGGATTCAAGTCTCATATTTAACATAAAGCTTGTTGTCTTAAACTCACTGATTGAATCATTCCAAACCTATGTCTCTTCATTCCCTGGCTTGCCTCTGGGCATTTATTTATTAATTCTTTTAGGAAGTATTTATTGTTTTCAAAGATTCAGTTATTGTTTTCCCATTCTGGGGCAGAATGGAGAAATACGAGAAGTTGTAGTTATTTTAGAAGTCAACAACAGTACCATCAACTTTTAAGCTATTTCAGGAAGGAAAAAAAGCACAAATGTGAAGAGCATTGAACCCAAGATCTTCTGTAAATCTGGTGTTAAGCATTCAGCAAACCAAGATTTGTTCAGATGTCTCCTCCATCACTCAGTTCTATCTGGTATCGTGTTTCTCTCTCTCCGATTTAGTTACCAATTCAATTAGTTAGATGTTCTTGCATGTCGCTGCTCCACCCCACTCCTGTGACTGATTGCCCCAGAGCAGATCCCCATGTCTAACCTGGGTTGTTGCCACACCCCTTATCCGGCTCTTCTGCCTCTTCTTTCATCCTTCTCTGGTCTCCACCCTCCTGCTAGCATTATCTTTTTAAAGCCAAAATCTGACCAAGTACTTCGGCTTTCCATCCGTACTCACCATTGTTTATGGCGATACACGATCTGAGTAGATTTGAAACCCTAATCTGATTTCATGTATCCCCTTAATCCCATTTTCCACTTCTTTCTGAACCTCCTCTCAGAACTTTGTCAAGAGACACTCGCTGTTAACGTGTTGTTCTCTGTCCCCACGCTCCATGCCTGTCTTCATGTCCTGGCTTACAACACTTTCCCTCACTTCCTTTGTCTTAATTGTTATTAAAAATACTCAATAAACTCAGATTTCTCCAAATAGATGGAATGTCTTTCCCCTGTCACTTGTGTCTATTAAAGCATTAGCCCTTTCTATGAAAATGAAATATATGTGTCCACATATGCCATTGCTGTATGAGCTTCTAAAGCAAGTGTCTGTACACAACCTTCCAGGGCCTTGTAGGCCAAGTGAGTCCTATTCTGTCAGCCTCTCCACTCAGCCATCAGACTGAAAGCATTCATAGACCAAAAAAAGTAAAATTCGTAGACAAAAAAGTGAGTGAAAAAATCCTTGTTTCCACAGAAGTATACAAATATGAACATTTGAATGTAATATAATTTTTATGTTATGAAATAGTTCTCTTCTGTTTCTTTTCATACAACCATTCAAAACCTTAAAACTATTCTTAGTTTGTGGATCATGCAAATGTGACCTTATCCTGTGTTCTATATTTTGATCACCCCTTCCCCAAATGGCAGGGTTATTTCACATTTGTTTCATATCCATGGTTCCTGTACCACTGGCAATGGTCAACATATGTGGGACTAAATGAATGAAATTATGAAATTCAATGCATGGAAGCAAATATAGATCATTTTATGGTGTCTTCCATCATAAACTGTGGTGATGTGATAAATAAAAACTATTTAGAAGATTGAAAACCATTTTTTTTTAATTTCACTCCCTGTGCAAAATCTTTCTGAAGTGTGTTATTCCATTTTCTGCCCTAGTAAGTAAGGCTTAGTGAATATATTTAACGATTATATTATAGTGCCCCAGGTCATGATTAATGATAAGAATTCTGGTGTTGTCAGGTAGCATGGACAGAGAAGTAAGAGCAAATTGAACCCTGGATGCCTGCAGATGGGGTGACTACAGAAATTGTCTTTCTGATGCAGAGAGTAATCCTGTGATATTTTCTAATATTCTCTCTCTCTCTCTCTCTCTCTCTCTCTCTCTCTCTCTCTCTCTCTCTCTCTCTGCACAGGAACTGAATGAATGGAGATCAAAACAAAGCTAATGATCTTATTGGCTGGACTCCAGATCCACTGCTCCTAATACAGGGTCTGAGCACAGGTGTTACAGAGTTCTTTAATTTCTTCCTATCCCCTCACTCAAGGGAGTTAAAACTGCCTGTAAAAGGCAAATTTCACAACATTAACCTAAGGGGGAAAGTGCAGATGTATGTGTTGGGAATGTCTGGTTTTAATGACCTAATTGAAGGTTTCTTTTAAATTCGTATCAAAGTAAACATTCCAAAGAGCATCATACTAGATCTTTCTAGAAGACTGTCCGTGTGGCAAGAGCACAGAGCTTTTAGGTCCTTGGGTTTTTTTTTATTTTTATTTTTTTAAAACCAAGCTCACTCTCTTCTAGTCATAGTAAAAATGTTCTTCTTTTTCTTTTTTTCCCCAGCATGATGCCATAGGAAGTGCATTCATCTAATCAGATAAGCTCAGTCTCTGCTCTATAAGATAGTTTAAAAATAATGTTTTATATTTCTTCTTTGAAATTTTCATGTGTGTATACAGTGTGTTTTGATCATACCCACTGTCCACTATTTCCTTTCAACTCCCTTACCAGGACACCCCAACCTGTCCCTCTCCCAACTTCATATCCTCTCTTATAATAAAAATAATAATTATTATTAATAATAAACTTGAGTCCAACTCTTAGTGGTGACATTTGCACACGGGTGTGGAGCCATCCACAGGGGTGTGAACAGCCTCCCAGCAGCCACGCCCCTGAAAGAGAATGACTCTCTCTCCCTCAGCAACCAATAACTGACAGTAACTCCTACTTTAGAGGAAGGCCTTGGGGGTGGGGGCGCACGCTGGGACTTTAACTAGCTTGGTCTTGTGTAGGTCTTGGACAGGCAAGCACAGCTCTCCTTCCCACCCTCTGCTACTTACATTCTTTGCGATAGAAATTGTTAAATAACGTTCATATTAACCACACAAGACTGCAATAGATTTAATACCACACACATTGGATAGGTCTGCAAAAATGGGGTGCTCAGTGGGATGGGCTCACTCTACTTACTATGGCCATCTAATTATTTATATAGCCATCTATATATGGCTTCATCTTCTACATTTTTCATCATTTTGTTAAGGAAAGACCTCAGAATATGATCTTGCTGCACCATTGCATTGTGGTAGGAGAGGAATTGCTTCTATTTTTATAAATACAACTGTAGGAAGAGAAGAAAATTAAGCAAAGGGTCCTGTATGTCCCTGTATTTGAAGCATCAGTAGTTGAGTTCCCACCCTGAGAGAACTGTTATTAACAGGAGAGTGAGTTTGGTCAATGAATTCTTAAACAAAATATATTCCGTGAAAGGAAGTTCTAGATAAGTGCAGGCCTGATCCTGTGGAAGTTTCTCTCTGTTCAAAGCGCAGAGTGTGAAAACACTTCCCAATGGTCACCTGCGGAACGTGATTTGAGAGGCATTCTGAAGGGTCCTTTGATAAGACCCATCTTACCCTAAGTGCTACTGCATTTGAAATTTCCTAAGCATTCAGCCCTTGGGGTTAAGCACGCTCTTATCTTACTCTGTTTTCTATATTCACTCACAGGCATCTATCAGGCACCAGTGATGCACAGATGAAACTCCGAAATCAAGCTTCCTGAGCTATTAAGATGCTGCTGGTCTCCTAAAGGTGGAAAACCGACAATGGCAATCATAGCTGACACTTGTCATACCTTAGACACCATGCAGAATAATGTGAAAGTCAGCTAAGAGGCCTGGGGCCTGTCCTTAAAAATGGTTTGTATTCCCAGTGGGACTCCATTGGATAAAACTGATTTTTTTTTCATCTGTGAATGGTTATCAGTTGGAAATAGCTTCCGGGTTAGGGACTGGGGCGTGTGTCCATTTCTCCTCTCGGCCTGGCTCCACATCTGGTGCAGACCTGTGCAGGCCCTGTGCATTCTGCCAGGGTCTCAGTGAGTTCATACGTGCATCGCTCCTGCTGTGTTTAGAGAGCTTTGTTTCCTTAGTGTCCTCCATCCCTTCTGGCGCTTACAACCTTTCTGCCTCCTCTTCCTCAGGGTTCCAGGCAATGTCTGATTGCACTTAAGGCCCACTACATGCCAGGGAGCCCATCCCCGACACCGCTTGACTGGCCAAGAACCTGAGACAAGATAGGCCAGCGACCTAGAGGAAAACCAAACACTACTGTTTGCTAAAGGAACGTAGCAATAAAATGACTCCTAATGACGCGCTGCTGTACTCATAGATCAGTGGCTTGCTCAGCCATCACCGGAGATGCTCCCTTCTGCAGAAGATGGGAACAAATACAGAGACCCACAGCCAATGTGCAGAGAGTGAGAGACCTTGAACTACTCCGTTATTTGTGCCAGGTTTGCTAGTGGGTTTCTTTCTTTCTTTTTTTTGTTATTGTTTTACCTAACAGGTCTTCGTGTGTGTGTGTGTGTGTGTGTGTGTGTGTGTGTGTGTGTGTGTATTACATTACAGCTTCCGGTTTTGAGTTTTTATGGGATAGCTGTGTGTGTGAATGTGTGTTTCCACATCCATGTTTTTTTGTGCCTTTTTCTTTACTCTTTTTCTTCTGGTTGTTTCGTCCGGTCCCAATTTATCTGGTTTTGTTTTATCTTATTTTATTTTACTGTCATTGCCTGGATGTCCATTTGTTTTCTAATGAGAGACATAAAGGGTGTGGATTCATATGGGAGGGGGACTTGGGGACAATCTGGGAGGAGTTGGGGGAGGAGAAACCATAATCAGAACAGATTGTACAAAAATAATCTACTTTCAGTGAAACAAAAATGGAAGCAAAAGTGAGCTAAGAGTTACCTTAGCGGTTGCTACTTGTTTTTTAAAAAATTTTAAATTGCATTTAATTGTGTGTGTGTGTGTGTGTGTGTGTGTGTGTGTGTGTGTGGTCATGCAAGCTATGGTGGAAGTCAGAAGACAACTTGCCTGAGTCGGTCCCTCCTACTATGTGAGTCCCAGAGAACAAACTCAGATTATGAGACTTGGCAGCAAGCGCCTTAGCCCACTGAGCCATTTCCCCAGCACAGTGGCTGCTGTTGTTAATATTGTTTGAGATGTCGTTGTCCCCCCCCCCCCCCCCCACTTCTCACCAATTTTATGCTGTTGCGACGTTTCAGGGCATGGTCCTTCTCTATTTCCTCTTTGGTACAAACACTTAGTCTCAGTTTTGGCAACTGTATACATCCTGGCAGTTCCTAAATTTGCTTTGCTTGCAAGACCTTTCTCCTAAATCTTAAACTTGTGTATCCAATTCCATGCTGGAAACTGCTCTTGGGTAACTTACAAATCCAACTTCAATGTGTTCCAATGTGAATTCCTCTCTTTCCCTATTCTGTATCTGTCACAATAGATAAATTCATAATTCCAGTTTCCCATAATAAAATCCTTGAAGTCATTATTGACTCCTCTTATTCTCTTGCTCCTCACATTTTAATTTGTCAAGAAACATTGGAACCCAGCACTACCAGTTACTAAGTACATTGACATATTGAGATGTATTGAAGACCTACGTAGTTTCTACAATATTCTTGCTAAAGATGCTATACAATATCATGAGGAAATATCAGATAAATCCAAACCATAGAACATTCTACAAAACACCTGACTATGACTCATCACCTGACCAGCCCTATGACAAGGAAACACTGAGCAGCCGTGTACAGAGATTAGAGGAAACTAGCAGACACAACTCCTAAAATCTGTGTGAGATCCTGGAAGAGAAACAGGCACTGCAGAAGGACACTGGGGGAAACAGGAGACAAAGGAAATAAAGTCTGTAATGTATATATGAATTAAAACTGGAGGAAAACCAAATATGATCTATAGGTTATGTCTATGAACATTATATAATAAGTATGTGTTAATATTGGGGGAAACTGTGAAGGACTTATGGGAAATTTTTCTATACTTTGTTTGCAACATTCCCATGAAGCAAAAACTATTTCAACAACAAAAACATCGTGGTGGTTCCTCCTTCACAATTTATGTAGAATCAGGCTGCCTATATCTCTATGAAAACCACTTTGGATTATGCTTATAGTATGCATGAAGCCATTTTAACCTTGAATATCATCCCTCAGCGGGGTTTACCTGTGTCTTTGTTTAAATTTAATCCATCACTGTCCATTGTCACTGTTCAACAAGCTGAGATTGAAAGTAACTGCATGATATCCAAGGGGAGGTTTTCACTAGAGAGCTGGATACATACATTTGGGCTCTATCAAGAGAAGTGAGTTTGAGAACGGTCAGAATGTGTGCCCAAGGAGAAGCAGCGACAGAGAAATGAGGAATAAGGCCTAGGCCACAGCACACTGCAAGCTGAGTTGCGATGGGAATTCCCAATGGTCTTATTTTTGTTATAATCACATTTTCCTTTATTATTTTTTCAGTTTCCAAGAAGCTGTCTACATTGTTTATTTATTATCATCACCACCACTATCATCCTCTCCATCCTCACCATCTTTATGGGTGACCTCCTACAACTCACATGTGAACTTCAGGATGTAAGAGATCGCTCCCCCTCCTCCTCCCCCCACCTGGCAATTTATTCCCCAAATTGAGAATACTTCTTGGCACAGAGTAGACACTCTATGAAGACTTACTGATGTGCTGAATAAGAGGTAGGATAGATAAGACATGGAAAGTCCTTTGTAGGAAGAGTAAAGCATACAGCGTGACTCCACAGCTGTGGCCACAGTGACAATGACCACACTACACTTGACACAGCAAAGTGAGGTGTAAGGGAAGAGAGGTGGTGGCCTTCCTGTGACGATGTCCAACAGTGTGCTCACTGCACATCTCTGCAACTCAGAGGGCATGTCAGGAATGGACGGAGAAAGTTGAAAGTCTCTCTGGTCATTGTGGGCATGAGAAGAGTAACAAATGGAAGGCTGCTTACAGTGTATATATTCATATCATGACAGGTGGAAGTGTTGGGGGCGAACCCCGAGAAGGCAGGGGGTGGGTGATTGAGGTGGGGGTGTTGATTAGGTAGTGATGGAGAACAGTTTAGAAATGAAGGTCACCGCGTGCTAGACACGTGCTTTGGCACCTTCCAAATTTGACAGGCCCCTAGCAGGCTTATGGGGAAAGCAGGGGAGAATCAGAGAATGCAGAAGCAGAGGATGGTGGAGCAGAACCTCAAATGCCGATTCCATGCAAATCAAACCAGCCTCAACACAGGTGACATTGTCCTATTATACCGGAGCCAGAGTTGGGCTAGGGGACAAGTGTGCCAATAGTGAGGCATAGGGATATTGGCTTAACTCTTAATTTTGTAAACTCCAACAGTCGAGGGGACACAGTGGCATTTCTGTTGGTCTTTCTGACTATCACCTTGTCCTTTCCTTGGCACACAACGTTGTCATTATAGCTTGCACTTGGCACAGATCTGACTCATCAGGGAAGGCAGAACTCTGTGTTTGCATGCTTTAAGGCAGAGATGAAGTCTACTTTGGCAAGCCCCACAAGGAAAGAAAGAAGAGAAAATAAGAGCGATAAATCCTCTGGAGGCCAGGATGCAGGATTAAAGACACTCGATCTACTTTAGAAAGGACTGCTAGCTTGTGTTTACCTAATGGCAGTTTCCTCTCTTTGCGGACTCCGGTCCAGTCCTTTTCCATTAGTTTGAATGTAGAAAACATCTTCCATGAGAGAATGCTATAGGGGAATGGAAAGACTCCGTCATTCCTCAAGTGACCTCCTAGAGGTCCTTATGTTTAACTAGCATCACCTTGGAGAATTTCTCTTTCTCATGTTTGTATGAATATATCTTCAGAAATAATAAACACTTGCCACTCAATCCCTGCTGCTCTGTGATAAACAGAATGAAGGATGAAGTGATTCCCATCTTGTCACTGACCTGATCCCCTTGACAGCACTAATATGATCACATGGTCCTGAAGTCTTGGTGAGAATCAGATTCTAAGGGAACACACCCTTACAGAACTGAGAAATTTCTCTTAATAAATTCTGAGCTTTTGGATTTGTGTTCTCTGAGACTGAACTTTAGTGAACTTTTCTTCCTTTTTAGATAGCCTAAGAGCGGCTCTACACCTCATCATGAGTCACCTAGCTAGTTATTGCCTGTTGATTTTGTAATAAAATGCCGCTGATCAAATCTATGATGTCGCATTATACTTTGTGAAAAAGAACAATATATGTTTGCCCAATTATACCTAAAGTTAAAAGTGCAAAATTTCATTATCATTTGCTTTTAAATGGAATGCAAAGACAATTCTAGCACAGACCTGAGCAGATAATATTGAGCTTTACTTCTCAGAGCTGGAAGTGTGTCTTGCATGGATTCATCAATGCCCAGTTGAAAATGAAGTAGCTTGAATAAGGGGACCAGTAAGATGGCTCTGTGGGTAAAGGTACTCTACACAAGCCTGATGACTTAAGTTCAATTCCTGGAACCCATGTAAAGGTGAAAGGTGAGAACTGGCTCCACAAAGTTATCATTTAACCTCCTCATGCACACTGTGGCATGTGGGACTCCTCTCCACACTGTGCACAGGCACACACACACTCTGTGGAAGTATATACTTCCTTAAAGACAAGAAGAGGAATCAGTGTTTTGGAACTCCTTGCAACCCTCATGCTGTAGCTTGAACACAGTCAACGGCAGCCTTCAAATAATGGCTGACCAGTTAGCTGTTTGCAATTAGAATGTATTTGCTTAGAGAGGGAGAAGGAGACCAGGGCTTCCTCTTTTAGTGTGTTTCCAGTGTGATGGAACATGTACCGAAGGGCTGAGTAGACCATGAGTAAATATTTGTGGCATGAGTACATAAGCAATTAGCCAATGGCAAAGTGTTCTACAGGATTCCAGGGACAAGGGGAGCCTTTCAAACACATTCACCTATTGTTTACTGGAGCTGAGGTCATACTGATAGAGGAAATAGTGACGGACTGGACTGGCCACTGGAGGCTTCTCAGCCTGATCACCAGTATTAGGAAAATGCCCCTGCCTCTTCTTGCACACTACTGACAAGGAATCACAGTCTAGTTGGGAAGGGGACTGTTGAGGGCTGCAACTGGGTTGCCTTTCTGGGAGACTCAATCTTTCTCCTGGACCGTCAACCTCACCTAGCAAATTATCAACTTCCTATCAGAAGAGAGTCTCCCTCCAATTTGCCGTCTCTCTCCCTAAAACATTTGAATTAAGATTTGAACTTCAGAGTACCTGAAGTTTTGAAGGAAAGGTAGCAAGAAAGGGACAACATTTTGTGTCCATTTTTTATAGCTTACACAATCAACATGGCATCGATTTTCAGGATTTTTAACCAGCCTGAAGACTTCTCGTCACAGTGGTGAAACCTGGGATTCTAGTTAACCTCCTTAC